ATAGTAGATAGATAAAAATTGGTAGTTTTCTCGGAGCACCTCGAAATTAGGCCGGCGAGAGTGAAAGGCCTTTCACGGTTCAGATCCCAAATTCGGGTCTCAGGGTCAGAGGTCTGGTCAAGAGCGGCCAAGTTCGTCAAATTCAGAAAAGTCACAGTCGGGTGCCTCAGCAGTCCAGTCCAACAGGCAACCAGCAAACAGACACATCTTAGGGGCAAGAGTCGCGTCTCATAATGAAAAGTCATATCGAGGAGTCACATCCCACGAATGAAAGGGCAGACCAAAAGTCCTATCTCAGAGGCAGGAGTCACAATCCTCAGTCAAAACCATGTGCAAAGGCCCAAGCAGCAGCAGACCTATGGAAATTTGGAAGGTTCCAGGCCTTGACATTCAGAAGCAGACAGGCCGAAGGGATGTGGTACCGGAACCCAGTCAGGCCCCAGGAAACAGAGGCTGGCATGAGTTGAAGTGCAACCAAGACTACAAAAGGACTGGCCAGCCTCCCATTTGGTCAGATTGCTCATTCGCAAGAAGCGTGGAAGTTCTGGAGCACTCGTGCGCTGTAGTGAGGGGCAGAGCGCTGAAGCCAGAGTGCTGCACTAAGAGAGAGAGAGAGAGAGGAAGTGTTAGCGCTGGCAGGGAGAAGGCAGCCACAGCTGCGCCAGTGCAGAGTGATAGTAGTAGACTTCAGTTAGTTAGTAGGCTTATCAGTGGGTGTGCAATCGAACTCGACTTCTTCACACTTGTCATGCATGCAAACAGCGAAGCAGCAAACTGGCGACATGCGCCCCCACAGTACTCAGAGATATCGTAACCAGGTAAGAGTTCTCTTCAAACTGGCTATGGCGACTGAGCGCCCACACAACTCACTGTTCGCACTCTGGATCACCCTGGATGTCCCACACGCACACTCAGTGTTCATACCCAAMACMCAYACAGTACRSAMACTCTGCACTCTACACTGAGCTATGGCAGCTATGGCTGCCACTACCTATTGCTATGACTACAGTGCGTCACTCTTGCCCCSTTCGTCTTCGGGCCTCCARCAGACCTCCTTGCACTAGACGCTGTGGCAGCGCTACCGCATGGCTTCCGCCTGAATGAATSAATGGCTGGACGCAGCCTCTTGATTTATACTTCTGCGCTGCGTTGGTCTGCCCTGTATCCCTGGCCCATGGTGGACACAGTCCCCCCCGTGGTACTTGCTGGACCGGACTGGTACTTTCTAGACTCTCCCTTGACTGCATGGCGACGACCCTACGACGCAGTGCAGTTGCACTGGGGTCGTGCTGTTTGACCTCGCCACTTGTCCTCGTCTACAACGTGGGCTTGCTTTAGGCACACCACTTGGCCACTTGCCTGCACCACTTGACCACTTGCCGACCTTCTAGAAGGACTGCAGCTAGACTTCTAATCTACAGGTCTACAGATCGAATCCTGGCTACCTATAGACCTACGACAGACCTACTTACCACTGGCGGTTCTACAGGTCGCAGGTTCAATTCTTCGAGTTGACACAGGTATTGTACACAGGTAAGTTGGGGAACTAGGAACGAGCCCTGGGATCTGCATCAGCTACTTCGAACTGGTGAATACTGTTTCACTCCCGCCGACCTAGATTCGAGGTCCTCCGAGAAATTTTCAATCCAAGGCAGGACCTTTACCTCGTTGTTGTCTCTCGYAGGCCCGGACTATATCGGGAGCTGTCTCTAGAAGTTCAGATCTCGTAAACCAGCGGTCGTCTTCCGGTTCTTGATAACTAAAATGAACCTTGTACTGTTTCTGCGGACGACCCCTACCTCCGGTTCTGAAGACATCTTCAGCCACTATACCATCAATGTCATATCTTCCATCCATATTTGGTGGGATCATCGATCTACGGGATGGAAACTGATCACTTGTTTGACAAGGTAATAACTTTGATGCATGGAAAACTGGGTAAGTGTGGAGGTGTGCTGGGAGTTCTATAGTGTAGGACGGTCCGTCTTCGCCGCCCTTGACTTCTAAGACTGGCCACGGTCCTCTATAGGTGGGCAGTAACTTCTGCGAGATGTTCTCCTCAGGTGTAAACTCTTTAGAACTAACCCTGACTAAGTCGCCTACTTGAAACTGTGAGGGGCGACGATGTTTATTCGCTTGTTCTATCATCCTATGCTGGGCTTTCCTGAGGTTTTCTACAACAGTAGCTAGTTCTTTTTCGTGCTGTACAGCAAACTCCCTGGTCCCGGGCGGCAATCTGTGAATCTGATCGCGGTTGAGTCCCTCAAACGGTCTGCGGGGTCGAAAGGACTTGTGCAGTTCGTTGGGAGTGTGGCAGGTGGCTAGATGCACGCTGTTATTGTACGCACTAGCTACTTTAGGCAACATCTCATCCCAATTAATCTGATCTGGCCTAATATACATGCGCAAAACTTGCTGCAGGATCTTGTTCAGTTGCTCTGTCTGACCGTTAGTCTCTGGATGGCGGCCGGACGACATCAACAACTTAGATCCGTATACTCCCATAAGTTCTTGCCAGTTCTGGCTAGTAAAGCGACTATCTCTATCGCTAACTATAGACAGCGGGATTCCATTCTCACTAACCCAACAGTCAAAGAACCTCTGTATGACTAAATCAACTATGACCATGACTTGGCTCTTGCCATGCCTGCTCTTGACTTGAGTGTCCATGAAATCTATTGACACTGAGTCTCCCGGCTGATCCGGAATGGGCAAGGGTCTGAGAAGACCTAACGGGGCACGCGTAGAAGACTTGTTACGCTGGCAGACCTTACAACTGCGAACATACTCTACGCAGTCATTCTTCATCCCTGGCCAGGTATACGCACGCATCAAATTGGCTATGGTCTTTTGCCAACCAAAATGACCCTCCGTGTCATGGCATTCTCCCAGGATCAGACTGCGGATCTCTTCGCTATCGGGGATGCACAATCGGTCAAAAACATTAGTCTTCTCAAAAAGCAACCCTTCAGTAGTGCGGTAGTTCGGCTCGGTCTCTAGGGCCTCCTTGACTTTCTTAAGGAGCTCACCATAGATAGGGTCCTGCGCGTAGGCTTCTCTAACCTGCTGCTGCAGATCCTTTCCTATATCGAGGTAATGTACTATTGCCCCAAAATAATCAGCTCTTCTACTCA